CCGGAGAGGGCTTTGCAAGGAGTCTTTGAAAGGAGCCGAGCCTGGCGTAAAACCGGAGAGAGCAGGCAGCACGGCCGCAGCACGCGCCGAATGTTAAAAAATGGCATTCGGAACAGCCCTAATTTTCAGTTGTCATTTAAGTGTGATCAACAACATTTGGACTCTTACAGACTTTAGTTTTGATCATAGTTATCAGATGACAATGTTGGTTATCTATATTTTAGTCCATTAACTACATATTGTCAACAGTTTAAATTACAATAAACCATTCTGCAATACAGTAACCTTTTGGACTGATTTCCTATCTTCAATTTGGTGAGTTTACTACGATATAAAAATAGAACGTGTGACCTTTTGTATATTATCCCTGTCTCTAGAAAAATACAACAGCTGGGACTCAAGATTTAGGTGAAAGAACTGATACCACTCTCTTCCTTACCACTATTTATATTTTAAATATGTAGCAGCAGGTTAGCTTAGCTTAGCTTAGCATAAAGACTGGAAACTATGGGAAACAGCTAGGCTGGCTAAGGAGAGTGTCTGCTTGGAGCCAAGAGTATTTCTTGGCGAAATACATGTTAACTAGTGAGTTTTTGGTACCTTTGGGCAGACCCAGGCCAACTGTTCCCCTCTGTTTCCACTTTTTATGCTAAGCTAAGCTAACCGCCTGCTTGCTCCAACTACATACAAGTATTTACCATAGAAGAGAGTGGTATTGATCTTCTCATGTAACTCTTGGCAACAGTGGTGTTGTTAGGCCTGGGCGTCTGACGTGTCAGCCCTGAACGTCTTATAAACAGCCCTGAATCTTCATATAAAAGCTACATATTATATACTGTATATATTTAAAAAATAAGACCATTGCGTGTTCGTGTGCACATCAGTAATCACTTTGATGTTGCAGCTGGTAAAGGTGAGGGCCATTTTAAATGTTTTATATACTGCTGGGTAGATTAATCTATAATAATCATCATTTATTAGTTGATTGGATTTTGTATTATCAATCTGAGTCTGCAAAGTAACTAAAGCAGACAAATAATAGGCCCGTTTCCACTCAAGAAGTTCCTGGTACTATTTGGGGGGCAGGAACTACTACAGGAACGTCCTCTCGTTCGGCCCTCTCAACCGCCGTGTCTCCATTGGGAGAGCGGAGTACGAGGAAGGTTCCTGTAAAGTTACGGGCTCTGGATGTGACGAAATCGTTGCGCAACCATTTTGACAGGGACAACGTAGGGACGCCATTAGCTGATAGCGGTGTCTGTAATAACTCACTAAATGGCCCGTGAAAAAAATTTTTTTTCCAGCGGATGTCTTAGTTACAACATGATTGAGCTAACTGGAGTAGTTACATGTCATATCCGACAACGGGAGGCTTTTAACAGATGAAGTCCTGATGTTAGCTTTGCTGCTGCTGTTAGCTGTCCCTGTCAGCTGATGCTTTCTAGACATCGTGATTTCCCATAACTGAATAAATACCACACATAGCAACACAAAACTGCTTTGCTAGCTCAATCATGTTGTAACTAAGATATCCGCTGGCAAGAATATTTTTTTCACGGGCCATTTAGTGAGGTTTTTTTACATGGCGGTGAAAGCTATATGAACGAGCTAACCCTCGTCTGCTGAGTTTTAAAAATGCCGGCTATTTTGTTGCTTTCTGTTGACGTCACATCCCTCCTTGAGTATATCCAATCAGCACCAAGTAATCCCCATGCCCCAGCCAGGAGTCTTTCAGGGCTGTTCTGAGTACCTACCCCGAGGCAGGGTCTTGTTTAGCCCCCGTAAAAGTTCCAGAACTCTGTCCTTCGGGGGTGGTTCCTGCAGTGGAGACACGCACCAACGGCCCTGGCCCCGTAAAATTACCCCGAAGTTCCTGTGGTGGAAACGGGCCTAATTATGGTAAAGTAAAAAAATATATATAAATATTTCTCTTTAAGACGTAGAGGAGGTACAGTCAAAAGATGCATAAAATGGAAATACTCAAGTGCGAGTATCCCAAAATTCCATCAATCCATTATCATACGCTTATCCGGACCGGGTCGTGGGGGCAGCAGGCCAAGCAAAGCACCCAAGATGTCCCTCTCCCCAGCAACGCTTTCTAGCTCCTCCTGGGGGACCCCGAGGCGTTCCCAGGCTAGAGGAGATATGAAATCTCTCTGGCGCGTTCTGGGTCCTCCCGGGGCCTCCTACCAGAAGGACATGCCCAGAACACCTCCAACAGGAGGAGCCCAGGAGGCATCCTGATCAGATGCCTGAACCACCTCAACTGACCCCTTTTTCAACTGACCCAAAGGAGCAGCGGCTTTACTCCGAGCTCCCTCCGGATTTCCAAGCTCCTCACCCTATCTCTAAGGCTGAGCCCAGCCACCCCACAGAGGAAACTCATTTCGGCCGCTATCCACAATCTCATTCTTTCGGTCACTACCCAGAGCTCATGACCATAGGTGAGAGTTAGGACGTAGATGGACCAGTAAATCAAAAGCTTTGCAAAGTATTCTGTTTCTACTCAATACTTATTAGCCTACTCACAACTACTGATATCTTTAACATCAAATTCATACTTAATCTGGAAAGAAAAAAAAGTTTTCAAGGGTGAATATGATGCCAAAGAGAGTTTCTACAAGTTCATTTTAGGACATTTTGTTATAAACTGCTATCAAGTGCTGCCTGGAGGGTAAGAAGTCAGGCCAAAAAATGTATAGGGGAAATTTTCTGAGACATGCAAAACCACGATGTTCTTTTAGAGTTTTGGAAATCCAGAATGACTGCTGTGTAACCTCATTATCAGACCCTACTGGAGGCCTGTTTGGCCTGCTCTGCTGCCTGGTCTGGACCCTGATGAACAGCCAGTAAGGGGCAAAGGTCATGGGAATGAAGGGTGAATGTTGCGTGTATGATGATTTTTACTGCTAGCATGTTTTCTTCATTTTTAACCAGGGGAAAGTTGACCAAACACCCATGCTCTTTGTCACCCATTTCCTCTTCCGCAGATTTGAATAAGTGACCTTTAACTTTTATGCAACTGCCTCTGAAAAGCATGTGGTTCTGTTTATGACAGAAACATCTTCCATCACAGCTGCTTTTCCACCCTTTCTCACCCATACCACACTGTCTGCCTCTATTCCTTTAAGTTTTATAAGAAGAAACAAATATATACTCCTCCTCCATGTCTCTCCCTGTCAGGCCCTGGGATCGGACTGATTTATAACCGATTCCTCTCCCCTATGACCAGCCTCTCCTCTCCGTTCTGACACACAGTGAAGACTGAGTAAAGGCTTCAGGTCCTGTTATCTTTAGAAGCAGAGGCCTGGCAGCAGACACAAGTGTGACTGCTGCCATCTTAACTACAGCTGCAACAGTATATGTAGATGGGGTCACATCTGTATTCAATCAGGTGGGAGAATGTGCATGGCTTAAGTTTTTAGACTCTTATAACAGCAACAAGCTCTAATTAATGAGAAGTCTAGCTACTTTTTGGAACAGCGTAAAAACCTGAGGGCTTAAGCAGTGTGTATAGTTGATCCTGGTGGGGGAATATATTAAGAATTGTACACAGATGACTGAGTTTTATTTGCACTATTGCTGAGTTTAGTTTGTCCTTCTGTCTTACATACTTCCTTTGTGATTATATAAACACAAATAAATCATGCAAACACAGTGCAGAGACATCCTCTGACTTCTAGTGATGTTCTGAGCAGTCGAGAGCTGCTTCCCTTGGAAAAGCTCTGGTAGGCGACGCTGTGTGTTGGTGTGTCATGGAGTAAATGCTCAGGAAAAGGTTACCTAAGTTTACAGATTAGATTTATTTGGAGGTAATGGATTGGACGGTTGTGTGGAAAAGTGGGCACATGTGCAAAATCAGGCGTGTAGGCACACAGCAACACGTGTATACAGTTCAAACACACCTACAAAGATGCAAAAAAAAAACAACAAACCACCACGCTTCTCCAAAGTGGCCAGATGAAGGGTTATAAAAGGCCTCAAGAGAGATTTACTCACACCCAATCAATCATATTATTCGCTGACATGGACCAGACTAACCCAGAATCATTTATCAGTAATCACCTCATTTGTGTGAGTACATTTTTCGTCATCTTTTCATTCCTCTGCCTGGGTCTGCTCTGTCAACCAAGCACGTGTGTATGAAAACACTCACATAATGCTCATTTTTTTGTGCTTGACTTTCTACAACCCAAATTCCTTCCAGTTTAACACCATAGCTGTATTGAGCACAAACCCCTACCTCCCACTGAAAATCTTGGGGTGGCATGCCAAAACCAAAAGTCATAACTGAAATTCTGTTATGCTGCTGTAGTACGTAGGCTATAGGCTGATTTACTTTAGTCTCTCAGGGTGCTTTCACACCTGCCCTGTTTGGTTCGGTTCAATCGAACTCAAGTTCGTTTGCCCCCTAAGTGCGGTTCGTTTGGGCAGGTGTGAACACAACAAACACCTAAACAATCCGACTGAGACCTCCTTGAAGAGGTGATCTCGAACTCTGGTGCGGTTTGTTTGTGGTGAGAATGTGTACCGACCTGGATCTGAACCAACTGCAGTCACATGACACATTGTTTGGGTTAAACATAAGCATGTTACAGTCCTGGAGGATTATTAATGTGCACCTCCTCCTGTACTGCCTTAATATGCACATTCAGCACATCCAATGCATCAAAACATTGTTTTCTAGTTGGAGCCGCGCCTCGTTTTCAAACTGTATGGTTTGACTAAAATGAACAATGACAGCAATATAGTCCACGATGAGCAGCGCTAAAATCAACCTGCGTAGTTGTCCCTCCATTGTGACATTAGAAAGTGTCACATTTATCTTGGAAGTGTACTCTCCTTCAACGTTTGGTTTACCTCCCGGATTTGAGTTGAGAGTTGAATCTGACAGTATCAACAAATAAGTGAACCAGAGACAGGACTTACTGCAGGACTATTGGATTGGATTGCATTATATTGTCATACACGAACACTCCATCCACGATTCTCTATCTTACCTCAATCAGCCTGTCTTGCGGTCGGAGCCCGGCGTGGTCTGCAGCGGATCCTGGGTCCAGGGAGCGGATGTATTGTCCGGGCCGGGATCTGTCACTGTGGAGGTTGAAGCCGTAGCCCGTCTCAGACCGCATGAGGTGGCACAGACGTGGAACGAGCTCAGATGGGTCGACTTGGGTCCGTGATTGGGCCTGGGCCTGGGCTTCAGCCTGGGCAAGAGCCTCCTGGAGGAGAATGAGAAATGTGTGAACTTGTCTTTTATACAAGTAAAATATATATAAATAATGCAAACATTCATTAGTTAATAATGACCAAGACAATATGGAGAAGAAACCACAAGAGCCCCATGGTGAGATGTGATCATCCTCAGCTAGGGAGCAGCTAGAAACTGCACCACAACACTGGAATCTACGTTGCTTAAAAGCTTATAACAGAGGTATAAATGGTGCAGCATATGTAGACAGACTGGGCACATCATAGTGGCATTCTGCTGACTGCAGGGCATGTCAACACAGCAGGTGACTAAAACACACAGCTGAGTCACTTTACTCATTTAGAACGACCACCTTTCAAGCCTGTAGGGTGAATGTTTTATACAAGAACTGTGGGTGGACTCAGAGTGTCACTTCAAGGCACTAATATGTTTGGAGCCTGATGCTGATGCTGTTTTTAGAAAAGAACAACAGCGTCTTCTCTTTCGGAGAATGAACTCTTTTAACGTGTGTGCAACCATGATGATATTCTTAAAAAAAGTTTTATTGAGTCTGTCCTGACCTTCTGTGTGATAATATGGTATAGCAACCTCAACCTGTCCAACATAACAACTGGATTAAGCCATTCAGGATTGCTCTGAGTTTGCAGGGGAGTTTGAGTTATCCCTGTCGATCCGGCATTCTGGGGTGCCTGCAGGCAGAACTAAGACATTTAAGGCATCCTTTTTCCAGTCGCCACTGGTCTGCTGAACTCTAAATGATCTCTCTACTGGAGATTAAATTGGTATGAGCTATCATCTGTTGTCTGAACTCTAAAACAGAACTAGTGGGAGGCTCTTTCTAAGAAGATCTTGTAACGTCTGATCTGTACTCTTCTGTTTTGTTATTGTGATGATTTAGTCGTGTGTGTGGGTATCTCTCTGTCTGCACCTAATCTTGCAAACTACTGAACCAATCAGCATAATTTTCTGTGTGCACATTTGTGACTGTATACTCAAGGACCTCTCATGGTTGCAGCGATTCACAATCGTTTAAAACAGTTTTCATTAGGGATAAACCGAAATGAAAATTTGTGGCCGAAGCCGAATAATATTAAAAGCTTGGCCGAATACCGAATATTGTTGTTTAGTTTTTTATTAGTTTTTGCAGATGAACCCCCTCCAGATTAGTGTTGTCACGGTACCAAAATTGGTACCCACGGTATGATACCAGTGAAAGTATCACGGTTCTGAGTAGTATCACGATACCACAGCGAAAATGAGGCAGATGTGCCTTTTGTCATTTATAAAAAGATAAATCACTTTTCTATAATACATCAATGATATTTCAATGGAATAAATTACTTATTGACTTATTCATACTTCAAAAGCATCAATGAGTGATTAACATAGGGGGGGATCAAAATAAAATAAATAAATGAAATAAAAATCAACCAGCCACCCTCCTCCCTTGAGAAGTCCCTTCATAAGTAAAGAACAGTCCCTAAAATGCGGTGAGGTTTATGGACCATTACCTGCCACTGAAAGACTAAAAGAGAGAAATGTGAATGGCCCATTTCTCCTCTGATACGCCACATACTGTGTGCCGCCACGGCTCAGCTGTTCAGGTACTTTTGGGCAGTGATGACAACAAGTTATTCACCTGGAGCCGGACTTCTCCGTCGCCGGTAAGCCGTTATAATGCGCCGCCGTATTTGACAGGAATACGTATTCCTGTCTGTGTCTGTGACCCCCGTTCAACCCACAACCAACGGGATTCGCCGTTTCGTTTCTGCTGCTGGTTGAAATCTGTACTCACACAGCGTGCTGAATGATTTATTTTGCCCACACAAAACTATTTTTAGTTGCAAATGCGAGTGCGTTGACGGACAGAGTAAAATATCGCCACACTGCCGACATTTTAATCCGTCCGTCACTGCACGCTGTATGATTGCGTTATCAAAACACGCCGCTATTATTTGGCCTTGCTTTTCACTTATTCCACCGAATACCGAATGTGTGTTTTTTTGCAATATTCGGCCGAATATATTCGGTTACCAAATATTTGGTGCATCCCTAGAGCCGTCATTAACTGCTGACTCCTCTTAACTGGCTGGTAGGGGGAGTGAGTCTTCCGGAAATCGGCTCGGCTAAAAACAAGTCTTACCTAGTCTGCTACAGGCCCTATTTTGGCCTTTTTCATAGTGATGATGTTGCAGATTTTGTTGATATGGTCATTTTTCCTTGATATTTGTGCTTCTACCATAAGTAAGTAAATAGGCTATGTAGTTAAATGGTTTCTTTTTTGTCTATTTTAATTGTGTGTGTTGTTTCTATTTCCTTCTTCGTCATGGCCGTCCGACAGAGATCTGAGAATACTCTCAGAGAGCTCCTAAATTAGGCTAAAATTTTTAGTAAGGAGTCCTAGCCTAGGAGTGATTTAGGAAAGTTCTCGGAGCAACTCTGAGCAAGGAAGGGACAGACACTTTTACCAGAGTGAAAAGGTGTGGTCGACCCCGTTGTTAGGTATGATGCATTATTTTAACAAATGTGATTGGTTGTCAGACACATGCCCCTTTTGTGAGCCTGCAAGGTGTGGACACCCAGTGGAAATGAAATGAACTGCTGACTGTGAAAGTGTTGTCATTGTTAGTGTGATCACTCTGCTGATGGAAGGTTGAGACAGACTCAAGTCATCACTGCTGCACTGTTGCATTTTTCCAGTTTTTCAAATATCTTATTGCTGTGATCATTTTATATCTGGTGTTACAGCGTTATTGCGTTGGGTGGGAAATATGTGCATATCCCTAATGAGATCAACCACAAATATTATCCTTGCACAATCTGATCTGTGGCATTTTCTTAACTCACTGTCATCCAGTGTGTGGAGAATATTTTTCCGACCTCTTTGGGTTTCTACCATTTTCTCCTTTGATAAAGAAACGGGTCCATGTCATTGGTCCGACAGCCCATTGGTCCGACATCCCATTAGTCCGACTGTCCGCGGAGCTGAACGGCTCCTGGCGGGCGTATTTCTACCTTGATGGTGCGCCGCGACCGGCTCTGGGTCAGCTGGGAAAGGCTTGAGGCGGAGCAGGCTCACAGCTTATGTGTTTGCCACTTTCTTTTTCATTTTAACCCACATCATGATCTTTTCCTGACCCTAACCAAGTGGTTTTTGTGCCTAAACCTAACCAGACCTTAACCACAGGGCATCATGATGATTTCGGAACGGACTTCGGAACAATGGGTTTAATATGGTCAGAACAATGGGATGTCGGACCAATGGGCAGTTCCCAAAGAAACTCTGGAACCTCTTAAAGTCCTCCTCTTTACTCCTAACAGTTCTCCACCTTAAGAGCTCTTTTAATGGCAGCGAGGCTTTGTGAATAGCTTTTATCTTAACAAGGACCTAGTCTTAACTTAAAGGGAATTTCTAAGAAAACGTCACAGTTCGAAGAATTATCTAAGAATTTCATCACTAGACGCAGCTCTTTGTAAATACGGCCCCTGCACTCTACTGAGTGCACTCTTCTTGTTCTGTTTATGTTTTGTTATTGTTATGTTGTTGTGGACTGCTTGGCTTATTTTGCAAACCTAATTTCCCCTAGTGGGATGATAAAGCTGAACTGAACTGAACTAATGATTACTGCATTGTAAAAGAATGCAATTCTACTAAATCCCATTATGTTGTGAATGAGGAATAATAATAATTCATTACTTGTACATCATTGTTATTCTCCTTTTCATGTTTTCATTTTGTGCTGCCATTCAGTCCTAGAGCACTTCTCTCTGGGGTGAAACTGTCCATTTGCAGCATCACTGACAGCTCCAGCAGCGCGGGTGAAGACATTTATAGAACCTGTATAATTGTGCCTGGAGCTCTACAGTGTGATCACACTGATTTGCCACCTACACAGCGGGGAAGTGCACAGCGAGAGGGGTTGATAGCTGGTGGCCAGCTCTGTAACCTCAGCTGATATTAGCTGTGAGGTAACAGACAGGTAGAGTGGGTGTTGGGTGACCAAATATGAGTCTACATACGCTGCACATATTGTGTGCATAGGACAGTTCTGCAACCGCATTACGCAACATGAGAAGTCTATTGTTTCCACTGCATATGTGAGGCTACCATCATGGTCCAGCTTGTGCCTGCTAAAAATACATATGGAGTATGTGGGCAGGGTGAGAGCGAGAGAGGGAGTGTGTAGAGAGGAGAAGATGGTTTCTGATTTATTCTGACAGAAAGACAGAGGAGAGCTTAAAAAGCTTTAAAAACTGTTTTAACTCATTAACGTCACCAAGCTCTATCTTGCCTTCAACAACACTGTACGATTATTCCAAATGCATGTTAGGAATCATGGTTGAGCCTCCATCAGCACGACACTGCATGCAAATCTACCCCTCGACTAAAAAATAACACAGATGGCAACATATAATTTCATTTCAGGCACTGAATTCTTTAGGAATTCTTTAGGGTAGTGTGATCCAGGCAGCGTGCCCTGAGAGGGAGGGACAGAGAAGGAAAGAGAGAGTAATAAAAACTCTCATGAATCTCTCAAGATCCTCCTTTTCTGGCCGGAGAGGAAGTGCCTGGGTTGGGCAGCAGGGGTAGATCATCCAAAGGGGAGAAAAATATATTTAAAATCACACGTATTAACATCCAGGGATCTATGCAAAAGAGACTAAATGGTGGAGAAGGAGGAAGGGAATAAGCAAAGAGGTAGAGAGTGCGTGGGAGGGACAGAAAATTAGATGCAGCGAGAGGATTGAGAAATAGAGTTCAAGAAAAGAAACAGTGGAGTTAAGAGCATGCAGAGCCCGGAGAAAAGGAGCAGACAGATAAACAGATAAACAGAGCGGTATAGAAAAATGAAGATGACAGAAGTTTCCAGTTAGCGACCGTGGGGAGGAAAAGAGTTTGCAGTGGAACTCCTCTAACATAAACAGTGAGAGTAGCACAGCTGGGAGTCATTATGTGGGGGAGACGCAAGTGTCTGCCAATCTAACCTCGGACTGCCTCTCAATGCCTGT